CACATTCTACGCTACACATTCTACGCTGCACATTCTCCAAGTCTGCTCCAGGTGAGCCCTAAGTTGTGAAGGGTTGTTAGTGTAACGAAATGGTCGGGTCTAAGGAGTCCGTCTTGGCCCTAACGAGTGTGTGTGATCATTAGCTTGGCATCTCGTATTTGGAAGGTTCTTGTTATCTAGCGAGGCAGTTTTCTTGCAGGTAACTTTTCTGTTGGGATTTTTTTTTCAGAACAAAATTCTCAAGTCGTGGAGCCAGAGAACTATAAGTCCCCTGAGAGGCACTAAACAAGAGCAACAAGCCCCTGAGAGGCACTAAACAAGCGCCACAAGCCCCTGAGAGGCACTAAACAAGAGCAACAAGCCCCTGAGAGGCACTAAACAAGCGCCACAACCCCCTGAGAGGCACTAAACAAGCGCCACAAGCCCCTGAGAGGCACTAAACAAGCGCCACAAGCCCCTGAGAGGCACTAAACAAGCGCTACAAGCCCCTGAGAGGCACTAAACAAGCACCACAAACCCCTGAGAGGCACTAAACAAGCGCCACAAGCCCCTGAGAGGCACTAAACAAGCGCCACAAGCCCCTGAGAGGCACTAAACAAGCGCCACAAGCCCCTGAGAGGCACTAAACAAGCGCTACAAGCCCCTGAGAGGCACTAAACAAGCGCTACAAGCCCCTAAGAGGCACTAAACAAGCACCACAAACCCCTGAGAGGCACTAAACAAGCGCCACAAGCCCCTGAGAGGCACTAAACAAGCGCCACAAGCCCCTGAGAGGCACTAAACAAGCTCCACAAGCCCCTGAGAGGCACTAAACAAGCGCCACAAGCCCCTGAGAGGCACTAAACAAGCGCCACAAGCCCCTGAGAGGCACTAAACAAGCGCCACAAGCCCCTGAGAGGCACTAAACAAGCGCTACAAGCCCCTAAGAGGCACTAAACAAGTGCTACAAGCCCCTAAGAGGCACTAAACAAGCACCACAAACCCCTGAGAGGCACTAAACAAGCGCCACAAGCCCCTGAGAGGCACTAAACAAGCGCCACAAGCCCCTGAGAGGCACTAAACAAGCGCCACAAGCCCCTGAGAGGCACTAAACAAGCGCTACAAGCCCCTAAGAGGCACTAAACAAGCGCCACAAACCCCTGAGAGGCACTAAACAAGCGCCACAAGCCCCTGAGAGGCACTAAACAAGCACTACAAGCCCCTGAGAGGCACTAAACAAGCGCCACAAGCCCCTGAGAGGCACTGAACAAGCGCCACAAGCCCCTGAGAGGCACTAAACAAGCACCACAAGCCCTGAGAGGCACTAATCAAGCACCACAAGCCCCCTGAGAGGCACTAAACAAGCACCACAAGCCCCTGAGAGGCACTAATCAAGCACCACAAGCCCCTGAGAGGCACTAATCAAGCACTACAAGCCCCTGAGAGGCACTAATCAAGCACCACAAGCCCCTGCAAGGCACTAATCAAGCACTACAAGCCCCCTGAGAGGCACTAAACAAGCGCCACAAGCCCCTGAGAGGCACTAATCAAGCACTACAAGCCCCTGAGAGGCACTAAACAAGCGCCACAAGCCCCTGAGAGGCACTAAACAAGCGCCACAAGCCCCTGAGAGGCACTAAACAAGCGCCACAAGCCCCTGAGAGGCACTAAACAAGCGCCACAAGCCCCTGAGAGGCACTAAACAAGCGCTACAAGCCCCTAAGAGGCACTAAACAAGCACCACAAATCCCTGAGAGGCACTAAACAAGCACTACAAGCCCCTGAGAGGCACTAAACAAGCGCCACAAGCCCCTGAGAGGCACTAAACAAGCGCCACAAGCCCCTGAGAGGCACTAAACAAGCACCACAAGCCCCTGAGAGGCACTAAACAAGCGCCACAAGCCCCTGAGAGGCACTGAACAAGCGCCACAAGCCCCTGAGAGGCACTAAACAAGCACCACAAGCCCTGAGAGGCACTAATCAAGCACCACAAGCCCCTGAGAGGCACTAAACAAGCGCCACAAGCCCCTGAGAGGCACTAAACAAGCGCCACAAGCCCCTGAGAGGCACTAAACAAGCGCCACCAGCCCCTGAGAGGCACTAAACAAGCGCCACAAGCCCCTGAGAGGCACTAAACAAGCGCCACAAGCCCCTGAGCGGCACTAAACAAGAGAACCAACAATTCTGGACTTTCCACATATTCCCTAAGAGCCATGTATTAGCGGTAAATATGCGCCACGACAAATTTAGCTCGTTAGCGCGTCGAAAAGAAATTGGTAGTATATTTTTTTGTATACACGAGTATACATACGCTATTGTACGTGTTAACGTGATGTCCTATATTGCTATATATATTACGATAGCAGCGTATCGTAGGCCTGTGTATACAACCTTACTAGGATATCTATAGCGTGTCTGTATTTCATTCATTTAATGTTTTATCAAAGATCGTCCAATGTTTAGCGTTTTCAAAATGCGTGTACGCGTGCGCGTGTAATCACTTAGTTATGCTTGCGGGGGATGAGCTCTGGCTCTCAATTGTCAATCAACTGGTGTACAGATTCCTGAGCCTACTGTGTGTGTGTGTGTGTGTGTGTGTGTGTGTGTGTGTGTGTGTGTGTGTGTGCGTGTGCGTGTGCGTGTGCGTGCGCGAGTGATGTGGGGGTGGGGGATGAGAATCGTACAGGAGACAAGGGAGAGACGAAAGGAGTGTGTACTGGGCAGTAAGATTGATAGGAAATGAGAGAAGAGAAGGGAGAGGGTGATGAAAGGAGGTAATGAGGTGAGAATAGAGGAAGAAAGAGAGAGAGAGAGAGAAGGGATGAAGGTGGATGGCGACGATAATAGGAAGAGGAGGAGAGTGATGAATGAGCATGTTGAGATGGAGTGACTGATCCCTTACTGCTGCTGCCAGTGATAATGTCAGAGAGAGAGAGAGAGAGAGAGAGAGAGAGAGAGAGAGAGAGAGAGAGAGAGAGAGAGAGAGAGAGAGAGAGAGAGAGAGAGAGAGAGAGACAGACAGAAGGGGGAAGGGAAGGAGAAAGGGAAGATGGGCTGACATACTATGACAGAATTATATGAACATGTTTGCTGATGATGCTAAGAAAATAGGGAAGATAAGAAAATTAGATGATTGTCATACCCTTCAAGGAGACCTGGACAAAATAAGTATATTGAGCACCACTTGGTAAATGGTATTTAATGTGAATAAATGCCATGTTATGGAATGTGGAATAGGAGAACATAGACCTAGAAATTATCACAATCTATAAATTGCGTGCTAAATCTTTAAAGAGTTCTGATAAAGAAAGAGATCTAGAGGAGGTTCTAGATAGAAACTGTCACCTGAGGCACGAGATACGTGCCTCCTATCAAGATAACCTGAGATAACTTGAGATTTCAAGATAACCTGAGGGGCCACATAAAGAACATCGTGCGAGGAGCCAATGTTACACTTTCTAACTTCAGAATTGCTTTTAAGTGCATGGATGGTGAAATACTAAAGTAATGGTTCACGACTTGTATTAGACCCCAAAGGTTCGTATGGAAATTATACTTGGAGAGGGTTCTGGGGATAAAGGGGGGGGGGGGTCCTACTGTACTGCCTACGCCCGGAATAGGCCCAGGTATTGTTGATAGTATTTTGTTTTATTTGGCTCCAGATACATTACATAGTTATGTAATGTATCTGGAGTTATGTCCTCGCCTAGTTATGTCATCTTACTCTTCCAAGCTTTAACGGGATGCATCATTTCTCTTCACATCCTAGCCTGCTGTCACACATTCTCCTCTACACCTCATCATACCGTCACTCACACACTCCTCTACACCTCATCATACCGTCACTCACACACTCCTCTATACCTCATATACTGCCACATAGATAGGGGCCTCGTAGCCTGGTGGATAGCTCGCAGGACTCGTAATTCTGTGGCGCGGGTTCGATTCCCGCACGAGGCAGAAACAATTGGGCAAAGTTTCTTTCACCCTAAGTGCCCCTGTTACCTAGCAGTAAATAGGTACCTGGGAGTTAGTCAGCTGTCACGGGCTGCTTCCTGGGGTGTGTGTGTGAGTGTGTGTGTGTGTGGTGTGGAAAAAAAAAGTAGTTAGTAAACAGTTGATTGACAGTTGAGAGGCGGGTCGAAAGAGCAAAGCTCAACCCCCGCAAAAACACAACTAGTAAACACAACTAGTAAACACACACACGCTCCTCCTCCTCTACACCTCTCATCTTTCTGAAAGAGCCAGGAAAGAAACTATGGGGCTTTAATGGATTTCAGTCAACTGTTGTAGAGGGAAGGTAAACGGTGGAGGAATTACTGAGAGTTGCAGTGAAGGGTGTATAGCTCTCGTGGTTAATGGTCCACCAGCCAACCCTTCCTAACTGCCGTCCGGTACAGGATAAGAGCGTTACCTATGAGCGTTCTTAGTGGTGTGCATTTAGCACTGTGTCGCGACACATCCCGCTAGGGAAGGTTATACAAGATGGTGCTTACCGTTGTCTGGCACGCTTGCACTCTACGTCATCGTCACTTCTCCATACACCAATATCTTGCTTTTCCAGGCAACTTAGTGTTGACATTCATACGTTATTGGTCTTGCCTTCATTCCACTCTTCCCTCGTCTAGTTCGTGCTATCCAACCCTCGAGTCGTACATTTCATTTCTTCCCCTCTGCTCACCCAGCCCATTTCCCCTACTCTTCCACCCCACTTAACCTGCGTGTCCCTTAAGTGGATTTCCCCTCAAGCCTCCTCTCTTTCTCTATCTCTCTCTCTGTTGATTATTAGTGTTTCCCTTGCATTAGTTACGAGCAGCTTCCGGGGTGGGGAAGGTTGAGTGGTTGGTGGTGCAGTGGTGGCTGGTGAGGGCCACAGGGCCACTCTGCATATAAAGGTGTCCAAGGCAAGTTATTCTTTCCCTTACAGTTATTTTACTTCCTGGGTTTGTGGTGCTGTTTGGCGATGAATGTTTCTTAAGATATAGTCCGAGAGAATTTAAGATCGAGTATGTCTCTTTCAGATGGTGATATTCCTATGATTTCAGGATTCGGGACAGTAGGATAAAATTCTGAAAATGTGCCTGTGTAATGGAGAATAATGGCAGTAGGCACTGGAGGATAGGGGGCACTGGCCTGACTACTGGCAGTGGTGTTTGTGGTAACTGTTGGCGTTGGTTGGCATGAACACTGGTTGTGGTTATTGTGAGTCATGTGGGCGTGATGGTGAGTGCTCCTCGTGGCGCTGTGAGTGTCAAGAGCCCCGCCATGGCTGGGGGCTTCCCGCGTAGCTGCTCTTGGTCCGTCACACCTGCCACGCCGCCTGTCGCCGCCCTCTCTCCCCCCGACCCTCCGCCGCCCCACGATGATGGCACCCATCGCAGCAGATGCCATGATGACCACCTCAGAAAGCGTGCCAGCTTGTCGATGGTGGTAAGCGGCCTCCGGAGCCCCACGCGCGCCCACCATACACCGCGCCCAGACCGCTTCCCGCGGCGTTCCCTGGGCGCAGTGTGGCGTGTATCGTCCTCAAGCCCTGCGCGCCAGTTAGGAGCATGGTTGGGGAGGCGGCCTCGCTCCTTCGCTGGCACCGAGGACACTGTGAGTGCCATGTACAGCAGCGCCACCCTGGCACCGCCCACTTCACCCGTGCCCTCGCTCTGTTCCTCTTCCCCGGAGCCGCCCTCGCCTCTTGACTCCTCAGGGGCACGCCAAGCTAGCGGAGGGCCTGCCCCATGCCTCAGCAGCAGCCCCTCGGCTGCCTCCCTTGCTGCTCTCAATAAGACTGTTGTTCCACGCCGCCCCACACGCCTCGTCATCAGCGGGCGGGCGCGCCCACGCCGTCTCTACCACACTCCCTGCGTCACTAGGTACCCCACATCGCCAGTTATCATCTCTACATGGGTATCAGTATTGTACAAACCAGTGCTAGGCGACATTACATTTCTCAGCTCCCTCGTGTATGATAGCGTGACTAACGAGAGTCGTCTATATTTCAGGCTATGTAATGTAACGGTGACGCGGCTACAGGTAACGCAGCCCCTGGGCGGAGACCTCAACTCCGTCACCCTGGCTGTGAAGATGCAGTCCTCCAAGCGCACTCTCCGCTCCAATGAAATTCCTCTCCCACCCAGTGGCACTCTGGACATAGAACTACAGCTCACTTTCTCCCTACAGGTAAGTTTTAGTGCCCCTCTCACCTGTCACTGTGCCACACATCTCCAACCACTTAGAATATTTGTGCGCTGATTTTCAGTTCAGATATCCGCCTGTCACAGGACCATTATGGTGAATTATATGCAACTATGATATCTAAGCCACACATTAGAAAATGAAGAAACGACGACGTTTTGGTGATTGATTGATTGATGAAGATTAAGCCAATCAAGAGGTGGCACGGGCATGAATAGCCGGTAATTCCAAGACAGAGATTTTGGTCAGTCCTGGACCATTATCAAGTCGTGTAATGCAAAGAGAGTAAAGAGAGAAACGGCCTCGTGAAGGAAGAGAGTGAGATGAAAGGTGGGTTGAATGAAAGCAGTGAATAAGATGAAAGAAAAATAGTATGAAAGGTACGAATAAGATAAAAGGAAAGAATAAGAGAAAAATGTAAGAAAAAAGGTACAAATAAAGAGAATTATAGTAAAGTAAAGGGAAGGTTAGAAGAAAAGGGAGGATGGTGTTCTCTCTTTCCTATGTCAGAAGGCGATTGAGGGGTCTTCTTCATCTCCCGCTTCCCACTAATCTTTTTTCTCGAACTCGTCACTGGTTCGAATCCATTTGAAAAAAATTAGAAAATGTGCTAACTCTGCATAAACATTACCGCATTCAAATGCCGAAATTGAGTACAGTATTCAGCTTGATGAACAACATAAAATCCAAACGGATAAATAAAATAAGATTAGAACGGTTAAATGCCATTTTGATCGACAAATTCAGTTTATCCAGATTAGAGAAATGTTGCAACAATTATGAATTTTCATCTAAGGTGTTGAATGACATCAGAAAAATCGCTGCAAACTAAAAAGGTTTTGAAGTTTCTTCTCAATCAGACCGACTAGCGCTCAAGAGGCGCTCAATACAATGACATGTGTATTAGGAATACAAATGTCATAATTCCTGTAGACTGGGGATACCTTCTTTCAATCGTCTTGAAGCAGTTGAACGGCATATAGGTACATATGAGAGCAGGAGGCATACTGTAATTGAAAGTGCTAAGTAGCAAGTTACAGGCCCCAACAGCCTAGCAGACCAAGCCATCGACCTAGAAATCCAATCAGAAATACGACCACGAGGGGTCCGTCTAATTACCACAAGCTACACAAGCTTCAGAAAGCTTCCTGGCAATACGTTAGTAATGAATAAATATGATATGTTAGGTTAGGCTGACCTAACCTAAACTAACCTAACTTAAACAAACCAAACCCAACCAAACCTAACCTAACCTAACCGACGCTTGGATCGTCGACTTTATTTGGCGTCACCAGCTCTTTATTTTTGTCTAATTTCTTAATAAAAATATACTTTTTCAGATTAAAATTATGTTTTCTCGTGTTGTACATTCAGCACCAACATTATAATGAGTAAATATATCATATTTATTCATTACTAACATAAGCTTTCTGAAACTTTGTGAAGCTTGTGGTAATTAGACGGACCGACCACGAGTGTTGATCCTGAAACCATGTAAAAGTAGATTTTAAAGTACTGTTGATTATAAAGGCAACTGAAAGGATCCAGTTTCATACACCGTTCAATTTAAGATCAAGTTTCCCCGGTGATTACTAAACTAATCTGCTTTTGCGTGCATAGTGAAAATTGATACAGTATGCTGTAATCATTACAGTCCATTAAGCCTAATGGGTTACACTGAGAAACTCTGTCTAGTTGTCATTTGAACATCCCCAGTTTTGTTCACATTTGCTGGTACCAATATTGAACTTAGTTCTCCAATAATGTTGAGGCTATTTACTCTGTTGATTGCATCCCTACTTTTTTCTGTGGTTATTATACATTGTCTTACAATTTAGTGGTGGGTAATTTCTGTATACAGATTGGGGCTTAAGCCTCTCCTTGTTTTCCACGCATATATTATAGCTGTTGTATTTGTATAATGTCATGAAATTTAACATTTATTTTCAGCTAGAATTAATTAAGTGTAATGCATAAATCAAGAAGACTGATGCTGTGAAATGTCCCTCTTCAGTAACGATAGTCAAATTTACTGTACTTTATAAATATAGAGGTGATATCTTGCACTGTAGTAATTATTTAAAAACTAGCAGTACCTGGCCACATGTTGCTGTGGCTCAGCAATGCATGAGCGTTGCTGAGCGCCACAGCGACCTTCCCTGTCCCCCAGTCCTCCCCACCATTCCCCCCCTCACCCGTCTCCTCGGCCTCCCAACCATTCCCCACTCCACCTTCCTCTTGTCCTCCCCACCATTCCCCACTCCACCATTCCCTCTTCCTTCCCACCATGCCCCACTCCCCTGTCCCTTTGCCCTCCCCACCATTCTCCATTCTCCTATTCCCTTGTCCCCCACCATCCCAAACTCCCCTGTCCCCTCGTCCTTCCCCACCATTACCCCCTCCTTTGTCACCTCATCCTCCCCACCATCTCTCACTTCCATCCCCTCGTCGGAAGTCCCCACCATTCCCCACTCCCTCGTCCGATGCCTTCCCAAATGGTCTGATGTCCCCATCAGAAAATTGGGAACATCAAGTGATCTGATGTTCCCATCACTGAAATATAAGAAAAACAGTTAAAAAATGAAATGAAAATATGAAAAAATAAAAAAATAAACTATACTCACGAAATGAATGGTATGGTAAACAACACAGCTCAGTTCCAATGCAATTCACACAAAATAATTAAATCAAAATAAAAATAAATCAAAATCTATGAAAATTCAATATCAATTTAAAAGAAACATTTAAATGGAATTGTAACATATTTAGTATAGCATGTGTGTTGCTCTTACATGCAGCAAATGTCACTGTTTTTCAAGAAAAAGCATTGTTTTATTTGTCACAGGTGTGGCATCTATACTTATACTTACAAAATGAACAGTATGGTAAACAACACAGCTCAATTCCAATACAATGTCACACAAAATAATTCAATAAAAAATAAATGCATGTTGCATGTTGCTATTATATGCAACAGATGGTGCTGTTTTTCAAAAAGCATGTTTTTACCTGTCACAGGGGTGGCATCTATATAGTAGGTATATAAAAAGATGCGCCTATTCGAATGCAACGTTGTGTCAAAACTTCAAAGCAATCGGTGAAGAACTTTCAGAGATTGCAGCTTGTGTTGCTCTTACGTCCAACAGATGGCTCTGTTTTAAAAAAAAAAAGCATGTTTTTCCTATCACAGGTGAAGCATGTATATAGTAGATATATAAAAAGATATGCCTATTCGAATGCAACGTTGTGTCAAATGCAGGTGATGAGTCACAATAACATGGCTGAAGTATGTTGACCTATCCACACACTAGAAAATGAAGGGACGACGATGTTTCGGTCGGTTCTGGACCATTCTCAAGTCGATTGTGCACAATCAACTTGAGAATGGTTCAGGACAGACCGAAATGTCCGAATGGTTCAGGGACGACGATGTTTCGGTCGGTTCTGGACCATTCTCAAGTCGATTGTGCACAATCAACTTGAGAATGGTTCAGGACAGACCGAAATGCCCCTTCATTTTCTAGTGTGTGGATTGGTCAATATTGTGTCAAAATTTCAAAGCAAGTGGTAAAGAGGTTTCGAAGATTTCCCTCACATGAAAAATACAGTTTTTTCAGAAAAACATGTTTTTTTTTATCGTCACAGACGTGACAGCTATATAGGATGTATATAAAAACCTGCTCGGATGCGAATGGAATGTTGTGGGAATTTTTCAAAGCAATCGATGAAGAACTTTCTGAGATTAATGGTTATGCACAAATGAACATTTCCATGTTTTTTATATAGATTTGTCTTTCCACTATAAGCAGGCAAAAACACTTTTCTCATTTTCGTAAATTTGGTTGTAAATGGTCAGCAAGCTCTTATTTATATCCCATTAGTTTAGTGGAAATAACATTTTAGATATTACATAGCTCTGGGGATGATGAGTCAGGTAATATGCCAAGCATAGGAATAAATTGAGTGAATAACAGGTAATACATGTTCTGAGAGCTTATACTCTCGGTAACTTTCTAAATTGCTCTGGGGAAATCCTCATGTGTTGCATAAACAGAGTTTAGGAATTGAGTTTGGCAAGTTGTCCATTACCTCCTCATCTACTAGCTAAGTGTTGTATCGATTGTTTTGAGAATTACCGCTCCTATGGCCTGGTGTCTGGTCAGTCTTGGCTAATGGCTTGATCAGTTGGGCTGTTGGTATTTACAGCCAATATGCCTCGATATAAGCCTACCGTATATGAATACACCCTGGCTGCTTGTACAGTATTCTGACACAAAGAATTACTGTTAATTATTATTAAAGTATACATAAAAAATAATTAATTAGTAGAACTTTGGAGCATGTGGCACCATTGCACTTAAATATATTTATTCAAAATATTAAATTTGAAATAATTTCAAATTGTGTTTTTTCATTTACCAATATTTTGTATTTTCCCTGAATCCTTCGATAAAAAAAAAAATGTAAAATTAAGGTGCGAGTCTCTATCCAAATTTCTGGAACTGATATCAATATCACAATTTAACTGTACAGTATATCAAAGCAAGTACTGTATATGGATTTTGTTTGAATTATTAAATATTTTAATGCCTTGCAAATTAAAGAAAGTTGTGAAGCTGTTTTATTTTCAAATCTTTTAAGAATGCACATAGTGGTGACCCAGAACTGAGAGAAATGTACACTTCAAGGGTTAAGCATACTACTCTCGACAAGCAAATTGTTAAACTATTTTACCCTGTACCATGTATATTTATATATATCATGTTTAAAATGTATATTAGTATTAGGGCCTACTTACCTCTTTCATTGTATAAATGTCTTAATGTACAGTCATTTTCATTTTCCTGGGTCACCATTTCCACCCTTTTTCATTCTCAGGATCTATTTTCCCCTCTAAAATCATGCATGTTTAATACATTCGGTTGTGTTGTATATTGTCATTCTGCTTTATTGGATATGTGTCTAATAAATCACACTAACTCCTCTTTCTCAGTGCTGCAGCTTAAAAACATTATAGTTGTCATTAATTTCTACCCTCCCACAGTACCCACACTTCCTAAAGCGTGAGGGAAACACGCTGCAGATCATGCTTCAACGACGTAAGAAGTACAAGAATCGTACCTTTCTTGGCTTCAAAACACTTGCCGTTGGTGTCATTAACATGTCACAGGTGAGAAAAGAAAGAGATTGTTGGAATATATTTAAGATACAAAAACAAATGTAAGGTAAAATGATATAAATGAAGGCAAGAGTAGCAGAGAAGAAAGGGAGATTGGAAAGAGGTTATTGGAAAATAAGAAAATTTAAGATGGGAGAAGGTAGGGAAGAAAATAGAAAGAGATTGGTTTAGGGATAAAGGAAAAGAAGAGCATTAATTGGTAAGATTTATGAAAGTAGAATGTGCACAGGTATGAGTACAGGGAAGGAGGGAGATGAGGTGTTGATTAACAAAACATATGGCTTTGAGTGTAGATAAAAAGATCTTTTCTGGACAGGTCATATAGTTACTTGATTAGACAATGTTCTGTTTCCTCTAGAAAATGTCCAAACAAATGTCTATAAATTAACAGCAGTTACAAAAGATCTTAAATAAATATTTTAATCTCATGATATGCGTCAACAGGTTTTGCAGCGTCCCGTAGACCGTGAACTAGAATTATACACAGAGGGGAAGGAAAAGCAAGCATCACTAGCACGAGTCACGATGGTTTCTCTCTCATCACAGCCAGTTGACACAGATGAGCCAGCAGAAAGAACTAAGTCTTTCATGGCTGATAATCCTGGTAAGTAGAACTCATTCTAGAGTTACAAAACTGCATTGATAAAAGTATTTTTATTTAATATTACATTTTATAGAGGGTTTTTATTTTTTTCTTCTTCCCACCACCCTTCTCATCCTTGGGTTGTAAATATTTTTTATTGTCATTGTTTAGGTGCATTTGTAATTACAGTACAGTACTGTTCTGTGTACAATAAAAACAATCCATTATTATTTAAAATTAAAGTAATTTTAGGCCATGATAAGCATTCTTTCTTTTAATGTTAGGTAAATTTTAGACTACCATGGGAAGATTTAAATTAGTAAAAAAGAATAAATACCCCAATGTATAGAAGACATGGAATGCAGCAGACAGTAATTTGCAAGATTAAGGGGTGTGTACTGAAATGGTTTGAGCTCATTGCATGTATGGTTGATATGCAACCTGGTGAAGAATGTACAGTATTCAAGATTTTTAAGGTAAGAGATGTGAAAATACAAAATGATAATTGACAAAGTTATTGAATGTGTGATGAAGTGGGGATTGAGTGTGAACAGCATAAGAGATGTAGTGGTGAATAGGGCTATATGACGGTTTGTGAAAAGGGAGCAAGAGTTTCGTTGTATGTGACAGCTCACAGGTAGTACTGTGTGTACACCTAGTCTTATGAAGCAGTGGGATGCTGCTCTGAATAATTTGCTGTAATGTACAGCTGTTTCTGTGTGACATGTATGACATGGTGAAAGGATGTGTAATTTCTGTAATTTGTAATGCAGTCGGGTTCGTTCTCGACTCGCAATCGATAATTCTGGGTTCAAATCCCAAGCGGGACAGAAATGTTTGGGTGCATTTCCTATCACCCAATGACTCTGTTCACCTAGCAGCAAGTAGGTACCCAGGAATTAGTCAGCTTGTTGTGGGATTGCATCCTGGGGGGGGGGGTCTGTAATTCGACCTTGGATAGAGACCTCGATATAAGCCTAAGATGTATAAGTACACACTGGCTACCTGTCCCATTACACAATGAATTATTATTATTTTTTTAATACTGTATTATATATTTTTTAATCTTTTCCAATGTTGTACTGCTCCCCCTTTTATCTCCGAGTTGATGCCTCCCTGCCCCATGAAAATGAGGAACGAGTTAGTATCGATGATGATCATGATATGGGGGAAACTCCCTGTATGCAGGGGTGTACATGGTGAACAAAAATCCTTGTTAAGTAAATAAAAATGGCTCAACAAATTAAAGGTTATGGAAAACTCATGGGGAACAGCTAAAGGTTTATGTCCTAATAAAATTAATTATTTTCATTCTAGGTAGGTATATTAAACATATAAATTTGTAAAATCATGGTTGTTTCTTGTTTTCTTTACGTTTGCATTTAATTTGCATTTTAAGATTATGTGGTTTTCTTTCTTCTGTTGTTTTTCAATACCTGCCTTATTGTCGGTGCACAATCCAAATGTTCTGGTATATTGGTTATATAACATTTGAAGTATATATGGTTGAGCATCAGAAAATTGTCATATAAATGTAGTGGGAAAACAAAATTTGATTTGCATGGGAACCTTGTGTATGTCAGACTGGTCTTCATCAAATTCTAGTGCCTCTCCAGTTAATACAGTTAGTTCCTGATTTGCATAAATGATGTGATCCTAATCACATAATTGAATCATTGCAATGATTCAATTCCTGTTAATGGAAGTTAAAATTATATAAAAAAAGATGAGCCTGATACCTGTATATTCAAAAATCCCCTTTCTGAGGTAAAGTTCTTTCAACTTCTGCTTAGGATCTCACTTAGAGCTGTTTGACATTCTACACTGGTACATTGGAGGAACTTTTAAAGTTGTTCCCAGGTCATACTAATGATAGAGAAACTGGAAAATGCACAATCCTGCCAAGAATGTTGCCAGAAAATATATTCGGTACAAATAATAGCTTTACTAAATGATTTTTTATATAAAAGTGCTAACTTTTCCATTCCGTTTTAAGTGCTAGTGCCCAAACTGACTACTGAATAGCTCACTTGGCCTCTACCCCAGCCACCACCAGGTGGATGTACTGACATAACAAACCCTCTAACCCAAGCTCCTTGCATTTTTTCTTAATTGGCAAATAATACAAGTTGGGCTTGTTGACCAAACCACACACTAGAAAGTGAAGGGCTGACGACGTTTCAGTCCATCCTGAACCATTCTCAAGTCGATCAAGATTCTCACAATCGACTTGAGAATGGTCCAGGACGGACCAAAACGTCGTCGTCCCTTCACTTTTTAGTGTGTGGTTTGGTCAACATATTTCAGCCACGTTTTTGTGACTCCTCATCTGCACAAGTTGAGCTTTTTTTTATCTTCTGTGATTAACTAATTTATTGTTGTCCTCACTTGAGAAGGAAAGTTTTAAAAATAACTGAAGTTTATAGATTTAATTAGAAGTGTTAGATTTATATAAATATAATATGATTAAGTTTCAGAGTAGTTAACAGATGAAATGCACTAGGAAGTGATGTGGTGGAGGTAGACTTCCTACCCAGTTTCAAATGATAAGAGCCTAATAGGCTCAGGGACCTGTATACAAGTTGACTGACAGTGAGAGGTGGGGCCAGAGAGCTGAAGCTCATCCACCACAAGCACAATAAGGAGAGTCTGCATGGCTTATATGCATGGTTGGGCAAAAGAATGACAACAGTAACTGTTCCTGTAGGAGTTTGTGCATACATATTTTAATCATTGCTTCATATTTATGTCCTTACTATGAGACAGAACTAAATGTTACGTTTATAACTTTTAGAAATTCTTTACAAAATTAAGTTTGATTCTTAATTTAGTTTTTTCTTGGAACTGTAATACCGGTATTGCATATAAAGTATAAAGTATGTTATACAGCATTTTGAATTATTAAAATATGTAAAAAGTTGATCTATTTATTATAACTAATCACAGTATATATATATATATATATATATATATATATATATATATATATATATATATATATATATATATATATATATATATATATATATATATATATATGTCGTACCTAGTAGCCAGAACGCACTTCTCA